CTCCCTGTGACTGTATAACTTGGGTCGTGTGCCAGCTGTGAACCAGTCAGCATAGCCAGGACCAAGGCTCCCTGTGATTGTATAACTTGGGTCGTGTGCCAGCTGTGAACCAGTCAGCATAGCCAGGACCAAGGCTCATGTTTTACCTCAGTCTTGCCTGAGTTGGAAGAGGGGCATTCTCCAGGGGAAAAGCCAGCACACTGCCTCATGAAGTGATCAGGAAGAGGGTGGAAGCTACTAGTGGTAAGAACATTAGATCTTCCCTGGGACCTTCTGAAATCTTCACCAGCAGTCTTTGGGAAGGGGTCTTCTCTTTGCCAAGAGCCTGACAGCTGGGCCCCCTTCCTGGTGCATGTGAAATGAGTTTCTTTCAAGTGACCACCTGGCACTTCTTGTTGCTATGGAAGCAGCTTTAATGGAGAGCTGCTGGGTAAGCATGCTCCAAACTGGGTCGCTTGGCTATGCTAAGGATTTCATGGAATCCACACCAATCACCAGCTGACAGAACTTTTCTTCAAGTAGTGCACTTATATGACACCCAGTAGATGATCTCGGCGGGTCAGTCAGGTGGCTTTAAAGCCTTTCAGCTATTTCCTAATTTAAGCATCCATCACTTCTACACATTCAGGGCCAGGCCTCTAAGTATAGGCTAAAGCATCCAAAGAAGAGGGTCTCAGGGAACAGCTCCATACCCTCCCCTGGCTGGCCCTACACTTGCCTACAAGAGCTCTGCAGAATTGAAGTACACCTGTTGGGCCGCTGGGTATGTGGATAGGCGGAGGCCAGGGCCTGTGAGACAAGCTCAGACTGAGACAGACTCGCCAAGTAAAGCTGGTCCCAGGGTTTCTGTCTCCATTAAGCAGTTTCCACCGGGAGGGGACTATGAAGAGGCCAGAAGTCTGAGGCAGGCAGGACTGGCTCAAGTCCAGGACATGGGTATCAACCTGCAAAGGCCTTGTGTAGAAGCAGGTTGGACCCTGAAAGGACTGGGTATAGGAGAATTTAGAAAGAATTAGAGGCCGAGGACTCCAACCAACAGGCATGGGGCAGGGTAGCAGGCAGCTCAGGGAGAGTGAGGCCGTACAGCTGGGGTCCCTTACCCTCAGTCCCATTGCAATGGGTGAACATCTTGAGGCTATATTCAGGACAACAGCCACAGGGAACATGTGTAGATTCCTACAGTAGGGCTTCACAAGCTATTTGACTTCGATACCTTCTAGGGACTCTGGAACCAGAGCTGGATTGGCCCTAGAAGGGCACTGTGTACATAGACTATTTACAATGAGCTGACAACAGGGTATGTGACTGCAATGCTGTGCTTGGAGGGAGCCCTAGAATCTGGAACCCAGGGAAGTCCATGACACCAAGAGGAGTCACTTGGGACCTGTTTTGTCTCTGGAGGGGTTTAAAAGAACCAAGGTCTTGGGATAGGACATCATGATACTGTCCACATTGACCAGAGTTCCAGCAAGAGAGAGGGAGGTACATCTAACAGAGAGGACAGCACCTCTCCTGGACAGGGCCCACATTGAAAGGCTCTTTTGGACTGAACAGGATTCAAAGAGCCTGTGTCCACTAGAGGGCGCCCACTGCTCACAAATTTTTCAATTAGGTCTATTCCTCTGTAAACTGTCCTAATCATTGAAGACTTTGGGAGCTAGATCATGGTAACCCAGGACCCTCTGGACAGGACCCCAGGCAGTGGTTTATTGTGTGCTAGGCTCGGGACCAGGGGAAAATATACTTCATTGGGGACAGCAAGAGCTTACAAGATGAAGCTTTGTAAAAATAAGGACTTAATTACTGGGAGAAGTTGAGGCTCAGTGCACATTTCGGTATCTCAAGGAACTCAAGGGGCAAGTAGGCACTGGGCCTTGGTTCAGGCCTCATGCTATCCATTGTCCCCATTCTACAGAGGACACTAAGGCCTTGTCTGCCAAGACTCATTTACTGGCTCCCTATTAACATGGTTAATCCAAGCTCTGTACACAATCCTATTACCTGTGACTGTCACACCTGCTCTAGAGACCTCCTTTCCTAGGCTCTGGGTTTGGGAACATGCCAAGACTGATCACTCCTGGGTGGCACAACAGAAATGGCCAGTTTGAGATTTCTTTCCTGGAGAAATCAGCATACAGATGTAAAAGTGAGCGCCCAGTCTCAAGAGCGGGTTCATGAATGGTATCCTGGAATCTTGAGTAGCCAACCCCCTTGGCCCCTAAAAGGGAAGAGGTGTGGAATGAGCTGGACCCGGTGAGTAGGGGAGCAGCAGTTTTATGTGCACAGGGGTACTGTCTCTCCTACTGATTTCAGTGAACCCTCTCCCTTCTAACACTACCCTCAACTCCAGCCCCTCTTCAGATCTAACTTCTGGAATCTCCAGGGACTTTTCCTGCTTAAACCTTTGTGTAGCTTCTTCAACTATTACCTGGAAGATTATCTGCCTCAGATGTTCCCAGGTCTTCCCACTTCAGGGTCACACAGGAATCCTCAACACTAGCCTAGTCACAACACTGCCCCTGCTTGCTTCCTCCCTTCCAAGTTTCCCCATCTCCCTTCCCAGAGAAGCCCTCCCAAACTAGGTTTCTCTTGTCCCTAGCAGTCAGTAAACAAGTTATAAATGAATACATTGGATCTTGCAGTTTGTCTCCACCCCAGACAGTTGGACTCCTGAATTAAAAAATGGTGGGGTAGCTGTGGGAGATGGGGATGAATCAGGAGACTGGGGCCCTAGCAGTTGTGGAAGAGGACAGGCACATACGCTGGTGCAGTTAGACAGAGGACACATGTAGCCCAGGCAGGCCTCCAACTAGCTCAAGGTATTCCCACTCTGCCCTGCCCCCACCCCTCCTTCACTGCTATCTCCTGCCTAGGAGCATCTCATAGGGAGCTACACCTCCAAGTACTCAGTCCTCAGCCTCCACCCACCAAGGATCATTAGACTGCGGGAGCTGAGAACAGTTCCCTATCCCAAGGGGCAAAGCCATTTCTTGAGTTCCAACTGTGCATGCAAGTTGGCATAGCACCCTCTACAGGCTGCCCTTACCACCCAGGCCTGAAAAAAATTACCCCATCTCCCCTCCAAAGTGCTCGAGAGCAAGGTAGGACTCTACCACTAACCAGTGACTGAACGCCAGAGCTTGCCAGGTTGTCAAGGTCCTGCAACCTAGAAAGCTCAAGCCCTAAATGCCTGGCAGGTACCATTAGTGGCCAGCAGGGGGAACCACTGAGACTGAGTAACCATGAAGTCTGTTCAACAGCTCTTGGCACAGGCTTACTTGGCCTGTGCCACTAACAGGGAGTTCACATGCAGCATATTTCTCTAGTGTGCACTTGGCACCCCAGTGACAGGAGACCCAATTCCCAAGAGATGCTTGTATAATCAGGACTGCCCAATAAGCCCTCCCACAATGCCTTATTGCCAGAATCTAACTATAGCAGTCTTGACCTACACACTCCCCCTCCCCTCAATTCAAACTAAACCCTGACCTCCCACCAATACCCAGTGTCTCCAGCTAACTAAACCCTAACCTGTTCCAGAACAGTCTTCAACCCAATGATTCTGGTAGGTGCTGTCCTGTCCTGTCTACACTCCTGTCTCCAGAACACACCTGTAATGGATACTGGGTGTGGTGGTACATACTAGTAATCCCAATACTCCGGAGGCTCACAGGAGTTCAAGGTTAGTGTGGGCTAAACAGAGTTCCATGGGACTGGCTAGGATACATGAAGACCCTACCACAAACAGGTACAAGGGCTAGAGAAATGGCTTGGTAATTTAAAAAATCCAAACGACCCTCACAGAGGATCCAAGCTCAGTTCCTAGCTCCTCGGGCACAGCACTCCAAGGTGCATACCCCAACACACACAACTTTAATAACCAGGTACACAGAAAAACCAGGCTTGAGACAGCTTTGTTAGAACAACTCAGCAAAATAAAATTCCGGTTTATTGTTGGACATTGTTTCACACATACATCAAACAGGCCAAAAAAAAAAAAATAAACAGCAACTTCATAGACAAAAAAAGGAAAAAAA